ACCTGCCTGAGAGTTTGGCTGGATACAGAAATCTGGGTGGGAATCCATTTTCCTTCAGAAGGTACTGTTTGCTCCATTACTGTGTAGCTTCCAATCCTGCTAGAATCCTGATTCCTAATCCTACCTATGTGATTGGTAGATATACTTTTGTCTTCATAGTGCTCAAAAACTTCATGTTGCTGTGCCGTGGCATGGATATTTTAAAATTCATTGTACTGGATTCTTGGCAAGTCCTTTTAATCTGGAAACTCATGGCCCTTGGTTCTGAGAAATTTTATTTTTTGATAATTTCTTCATGCCATCAAATGATAACCACCCTCTATCCCTTCTTGCTACAGACATCTACAGATCCCTGGGTCATTCAGTCCTCCTCATTCCCTAAAGACTTTAGCTTCTGGATCATTACCTATTTTGTAATTGCTATTTCTACTTTAATTCATGATAATCTAAATATGCACCACTATCTTTACCTCTCAGTTCCTTGACTCCTCTCTTCCAATGGTGTTGTCCTCTATCCTACTTCAGCCACTCCCTCCCACAATGCCCACATCCAAGCAGCTCTACGCAGCTGTAGGAAAAGCATACAACTATGGTAACTGGGTCTCACCTTATATTTATAACCATAAATATCAAATGAGCACTTGGTGCTGCCTGGCAGTCCTAAAACTTTTCCCTATTCAACTCATTCCTCTCCACTCTCCTGGATGAATTTTACACCTCCTTTCTCCTCGAGCTTCCAAGACCTCCCCCCTCTTCATTTTCAGCTGAAGACCTTACTTCTTATTTACCCAAGAAATGTAGAAATAATTAGAAGAGAACTTCGACTTTCTCCCACCACCAAGCTAACAAGGCACCCATGTTTGATGTAGGTCCAAATAATCTGCCACCAGTGAACTGTCTGCACTGCAGCTATCTAGCTTGAGGCCAACATATCCATTTGTGTACTTGACTTTATTCCATCTTAGCTACTACTCAAGGACTTCACTCCTCCAAATGGTTCCTTCTCTCTAATCATCTATTTCCCCATCCCTGTTGCATCATTTCCATCAATTTACAAACATGTTATGTCTGCCACCTAAAAACAAAGACAACTCTCTTAATACCTCATGACATTCCAGCTATAGCCCCATTACTCTGCTCTCCCTTGTAACAATCCTTGAAAAAACATTAGTGACTATATATACTCATTGTCTTCAATTTCCCTCACATTTTCTCTTGAACCCACTACACTAAAACTGTTCTTGTCAAGGTCACTAATGACCTCCACATTATCAAAAATTTTTTTGTCGGCTGGCCAGTTCAGGGATCAAACCCTGGCCCTTGGTGTTATCAGTACCATGCTCTAACCAACTGAGCTAACCAGCCAGCCCCTACATTATCAAATCTAATAGTCTATTCTTAGTCCTCATCAGACTATCAACAGTGTTATCCGACTTTCAATGACTATCCTTGATTATTCTCCTACCTCAGAGGTAGGAAACCATTTTCCCTCAGAATTTGGAACACATTGCTACATTGTCTTTCCTGGAAACTTCTTACTCTCTTTACTCTTCATATATGATACCCCAGTGCTTGGATGTTAGTCCTCTTCTCTATCTGCATTCACTCCCTGGATCTCTATCTAGTCTCGTGGCTTTAAATAAAAAAATTGGGAGTCATCAATATAAGGATGATATATATCTCCAGTCCCAACCTCCCTCCTGAACTCCAGATTAAAACGTCCTACTGCCTATCCAGTATCTCCACTTGGATATCTATTAGGCAACTCAAAATGAACAAGGCCAAAATTGTGAACTCTACAAGGGGCCTTCAAAAAGTTCATGGAAAGATTTGTATTATCTTTTCATTCTACTCTTTTTTTCCCACAAACTTTTTCAAGTTTTTTCCACAAACCTTTTGAAGTACCCTTGTATTCTATCCACAAACATGCTTTCCTAGCATTCCCACTATCGGTAAATGGCAACTCCGTTCTTTGAACAGCTGAGGCCAAAATTGACTAGACCTTCCTTGCACTATTGTTCCTTCAGCCCTATTTCTTCCTCAGTACTTATTTCTCACCACTCAGTATTAAGATTTTTATTGTTTTTGTCTCTTTCCACTTACAAAAGAGTTCAAAGGGCAGGAGACTGCCTTATTTATATGAATCCACAGTACTTAACACAGTATATGTAGGCTTATTTGTATAAAGAGGTGGTGAAGGACTGGCCAGTTAGCTCAGTTGGTTAGAGCACTACCTTGTAACACCAAGGTCAAAAATTCAGATCCCTGTATGGGACAGCCATCCAAAAAAACCAATCAAACAAAAGGGGCTGGCCCAGTTAACTCAGCTGGTTAGAGCACGGCCTTGTAATGCCTTGTAACACCTGGGTCGGAGGGCTTGGGTACCAGCCAGCTGCCAAAATAAAAAAGAGGCAGTTAAATTCAATCTGTTAAAACGTCCCAAGCTGGAACAGACTCTACTGCAAAAAAGATTTTGAAGTAAGAAAGTGTATTTCAGCTAGATCTCCACTGGTTCCTTAATACTAGACAGGTTATACTTTGGTAATAATTCCAGTGGCGTTTCACTTCTTACTCATGCTACATGTCAAACATAGGTCACCTGGAAGCTTACTCTGGATCTCAGACTGATGGAGTAGCAACAATTTGGAGCACCAGCAGCCACCATGACAGAAGGAGTACACATCAGAAGCTTTTACCATGAAAGGCTACACATTATTCCTATGCACATTTCATTAACCAAAGGCAACTCAAAGGTGCAAGCAAGTATAATTCTACTACATACTCAAGAGACAGAAACCAAAAATATTTGATAGCACTGATAACTATCATATCCTTAAAAAGAAGCCTCTAATTCTGAGCAACAATATTTTAACTCCTGATCTCCATTTTCCATATGTAAAAATGAACTTCCTTGCTAGAAGAGAACCACATACTTACAAAGTACTATCTACGGGTATTTAGGAATGTAACTTCACCAGTTAGGCCTGCCTCTTACATCACTCAGGAGTCTGAGAGCAGCAAGGAAGCCAAATACAGGGGACAGGAAAGTGCTGAGCCCAAACCTGCTAGAAAAGTTCAATGTCAAAAGTAAGAGAAAGTCTTGAATAGGCAAGAAAAGTACATACAATTATGTAGAGGTGGAGAAAGCAGGGTAACCTTCACCAAATTTCTTTTACCAAAGGTATGAAACAGGCAGGCCCTGGGGTTCCTTGCACTACCCCTTGTCAGAAATCTAACAAGTTTTACTCAAACCATCATGTTAGCCAACATGCTTGTTTTTAACATAAAACATTACCTTTTTAAAAATAAAGAAAAATCACTCAGCTATGCTACTAGAAACAAGGAAGGCAGAGCACTTTAGAAATGGATTTTACTGTAAAGCTGATTTTTTTGGTTTTTTCTAAGTCTCAAGATTCCAGCTCAAGACGATCTGAGATAAACCCCAAGTCTATACTGAGCCTAGATTTAGCAGATGGCTGCTCCAAGTTCTAAAGTATCCTGTTCAATTTTTATACAAAGTCAAATACTTCCTAACAGTAAAACTGTCTGGCAGAAACACTGGGACAAATTGGACATAGTTACCATAAGCTGTAAAGCCCACAAGGAATTACAATAAAGAGCAGAGCAAAGTCACCTTTCAAATTAGAAGCAAATTAGGGCTCCTAAATGCAAAGCTTCATTGGTATCTAGCTCCATCTCCCCTATCTTTTATTCATTCAACAAGCATGTATTAGTTACTGGGGTGTGGGAAGGAATGCAGGAAATAAAAGTACAGGGTTCTAAGAATTAGTTCTTGCTCTCCATGAATTTGGTCTAGTTAGAACAAACAGACGAATAACCCCAAAAAACAGACTGGCAAGCAAGAAGTTAAAACATAAAGTACCATAATAAATATACAGGAAAAAAAAAACTTTCTAACATATAGGTTGCCAACCTCCTTTCAAGGGAACGATACCATTTCCTTTGCTAAGTAACTAGAATAAAGAAAAAGCAAACAAACAAACAAAAAACCCTCTCCTGGTTTAATGACAGTTTAGCAGTACCAAAGCTCATTACTCACATCCTCTTCCTCCCTCTCAAAGATCTCTGCTGCAACCTCTCCATCATTCCAACCTCCACACTGCGCTTGCAGCCCCATTCCAGCTCGACCACAGTGCCCAGACTATCAAGGTCAACTCCGAATGCACAGGGAGCAGAAATCATCAAAAAGATATCGAAAGGAGACGAGGTGTCACCCTCCCCAATGTCACCCCCCCCCCTTTACCGAGGCACCCGAGAGCTCTGTCCCTAGGCTCAGGGGCCTGGCGTCCGCCGCTTTTGGGGGTTCTGGACTTCTTTTTCCTATTTATCCATCCAGTTCATTTTTCCTCCTGCGCCCCTAGTAACCTCCGCCTCCCCCTAAGCTAAGCTTCCTATTGTGGAGTGAGGGGACGTCGCGATGCCGGCGGGGGCAGGAGGAGGTGGTGAAACGCGCAATAGGGGAGATGCTGTCCGTGTGCATACAGTGCCCGAGAGTACTCTTCTGGGAGGCTGCTGTCAAGGGCAAATGCTTTAAAGGCAGTTAGGGGAGCTTTACAGGTAAGCCGTTTCTGAGGGAACTCCATTTGGGGTTCTATGCGAGAAAGCTATTGTGCGGGGGGAGGGGTCTCTAAAGATATCCGTTTCTGGGGGAAATATTCCACGGGGAAGCCAAGTGAATTATCCATGGGGAAGCCACTGTGGGGTTCTCTACAGGGGAATCCTTCCAGGGGAATACGTTCTACAAGGGTGGGGATGTCATAATAGGAGTCTTCACAGGGAACCATTGTGTCTATAGGGGAGCCACTGTGGGGCCTCTACAGAGGGCGCCGTTCCTGGGGAAACGTTCCTCCGGAGCCGTTTGAAAAGAACCGAGCGCGAGGAAGCCATGTCGAGCCACGCCCTGCGGCTGGAGGCGTCGCCAGACCCGACGGCCCGCATCCCCCACCCGGCCGTCCCTCTGCGGCCTTAGCCCCACGTACCTGACGGAGGGTGACCCGCGACGGGAGCCGCCGGAGGACCGCGCGCGGGGTAGCCCCTGCCGGCGCTGGGGGTACACCTCCATGGCGGCAGGCGACGGAGAAGGACGGTGCAGCTGCGAGGGTCCGGGTAAGAAACATT